CGCTAGCGCCCCCCTCAGGGCGTTTAAATCGCGCGCGGTTGCTCTTGGCAACGTCCCCCCTGCGTCAGCGCCTCTCGCGAGAGCTGCCGGCTCCTAACGGGTTTCTGGGCTCTTCCCCGGCCTTCTCTGGCCCCAGAAACCCCTCTGTAAGCCTCCCTCGACGTTGCTCCAGACACAGAACTAGCCGTTGCCGCCGTTCCTGCTTCGCTGACTGAGTGCTGTTGACGCTCTGACCGGGTTTAAATCACCCGCGGTTGCTCCTGGCAATGCTTCAGCTTCGTCCGCCCCGCTCCCGAGAGCTGACGGGTTTCTCGGCTCTTCCCCGGCCGCCTCTGGCCCCAGAAACCCCTCTGTAAGCCTCCCTCGACGTTGCTCCAGCCACGGAACTAGCCGTTGCCGCCGCTGCTGCTTCGCTATTTATGCACTTCGCTAGCTAATTATGCACTTCTTTGTTTTATAAGAAAGTAAAGACAAGCAGTGCGCTTGATGGTTGCTTCAGGCAATCTAAAACCTTTCAAAAATACATTATTGAATGCTATTTGCGTGGTCCAAGATTTACGGTGTTCCCACACACGTAATGTTGATGGATTAACACATTACCATTATTCCATTTGGCAGTTGCCCTATTTAACTCATCTTTATTTTTACCTGCTGTGTAAAGATGACTTTCAGTAGATTTTACAAGTTAGTGCTCATGCTTCTCCTTAGTGAGAAAAGCCAGGTGGTCTTCTCCCTCCTACTCCAAATTGCCCTTCCCTCTTGCTGTTGTTTTTCAGAAAGAAACAATGATCATACCTGCTTGTCTTACAGACCAACTTGTGTTGTAGGCAAATTATTATTGATGGCTTACTTCACTTGGAGTATGTAATGATTAATAGAGCTGTTATCTCTGAAAAATTTGTCTTAGTTGTCAATGCTAGAGGTGCTAACAGAACTTAGACTGGTTTTTTTATTCTGAGTAACTCAGATAACTGAAGTTCCATCTTTTTGTAACTGCTGCAGTTTCACTCTATAGATTCAGTCTGTGAAAAGCTATTGTAGAGTTTTATAGATCAGAAAGAATCTGATTTTTCTGAAATTAAAAAAGCAGATAGGAGAAGATCCATTCATTACTCTTTCATGAATGTGAACAAATTAGCGCCTTCAAACTCCCTTTTTGAGTCTTCACTTCTTTCTAAGTGAAATGCTAGGAGTGCACTTCTAAGGCTTGCTAAGAACAGCTTAGAAACTTAAATTATTTTTTTTTTCTTTTGAAGACTAAGGCAGTGATTCTTAAGAGGTGGCAAGCCATGTACTCCTTAATCATCGATGTCGGGGAGAAGTTGCGCACTGTCTCTGATCCCGAGACCAACGCAGTTCTCCAGGAGGAGCTCAGCCAGTTACAGCAAAGTTGGGGGGACACTCAGGTTCAGCTGGAGAAGAAGAAGATGCATCTCAGCAGCACCCTACAGGTAGGTGATGCCCTCCCCAGGGAGGAGCAGCACCTGCTTCTCTGGTGTTGGGTCTCAGAGCTTCCCAGCCCCACAACCCCAGGGCTGAGCTCTGTAGCAACAAGGCAAATGCTCATCTGCTGCTTGCTGCAGAGGGGCTCTGCGAGAAGTTCCTGTCATGTGCCATCAGGGCTTGTAGGAAGGTAAAATTGTGGTCCCCTGATTCTCCAGAGGAAAATGGGGTTCGTATCCATTTGTTTCTACAATGGATGTTCCCGCTCTGATTGTTCTCATGCTCCCCATGGCCTGGAGCTCTCTCTTGCTTCAGGCTGTGAAGCCTGAGCTAAAATTTAGCTTAGAGGGAGTTAGCATGACTTGTTGCTCCTCCTGTTGTTGAACCTCTAAACAGAAAGGTAGGTCATATTTATTTCCTTAGAGTAATAAATTTGCTTTCATGCCTAGACAGCACATAGATATGTCTTCAGATTGAATACTATCATTGATACAATCCCCAAAAGCTATGCTAAAAGCCTCTCAGGTTGGACATAACAAAATTAGCAGAAATGCTCTGTAAGACAAACCTTCAATACAAGAGAGGGTGCAAGTTCTTCTGTAAATCCATGCACCAAATTCTTGTGGGTGGTACAGTGGATCAAAAAGAAAATCCAAATAATGAGAGCACATGATTATTAATTTCAGTGGGTTGAAGAGTCTATTTGGTAACATATCCATATGGTACAGTATGTCATGATAGAGTATCTTAACCTTTTATAACTTCCTTGGGTTTCCTTGAGCAGAATTGGGACTGCTGTGAAAAGCAAACTAAGGAATTAAAAAGCAGGCTGCAAGAGCTGAAAGAGAAAATAAAAGATCCACTTCCAGTTGAACATGAAGAGCTCTACAAAGCCAAGGAACACATTAAGGTATTGAACAGCCATATTGTATTTAAATAGATATAGTCGTCGCACAACACCTAATCCCCGTAAAATCAGTTTTGCCTCTTACCTGCTCTTCAGTGACACTGAATTCCTGTCCTTTATACCATACTGATTGCTGCCAATCTGCAAAGTCCAGCTGACCAAGAAGATTACAAGAATGCTAGTGTTTGGATTTTTTTTCCTGCTTCTTCTCCCTTTCCACAGTCTGAATTTATAACATAAGCAGTTCCTCAAACAAAAGGGAAAAAACTCCCTGGTCTCAGCTCAGTTGGCTGCTATCCTAGTGGTTGAATCTCCCTTTTTGTTTTCCAATCCATTTTGGACAAGGAGCTCCTCAGGCGAGAGACCTTGTAAGTCTACAGAGCGCCATGCACACCTGCAGGATCTGAGAATAATTAAAGAGAAGGAAAATTAAGAGTAAGGGAGTGGCAAAAGCCCTTGCAGCCCATAGTGTGCCATGAAAATTAAATGGCAAGCAAAGCATTTCCAAGGGATAGGAGACATTTTGTCTGGACTGGTCAGTCTTTCATCATCCTTTTATGAAGTGAATTGTTGACCTACGTCGTGGGAACAAATAAGCTTATTAATGAGCCAAGGCTTTGAACTCATTATCAGCTGTCTGAAATCTTCTTTGCGAGTGCTGGCTGCCTTTCCCACGGCAGCAGTCTTGCTATAGCCCTGAATTATTTGTGAGATGGCAGGACACAGCTTCTGCCTCTTACTCCAGTAAGAGAAATTCAGCCACAGAGGTGTCATGGTCCGACAGTGCCAGTGCAGTTGCTGCTCTTGGGTGTCACGTTATAATAAAATAAAGGGCCAAAATGGCATGAGGGAGAAGGGACATCCTTTCCTCTCCCTGCATTTCACTCTTCTGTGGAATAAAGCTGTTTTTCTCTGGACCTTATAGGAGGCTAGCAAAGTCCCATGAAATTCCATTGTGAGCTCCATTAATGCAGGGATTTGACCCTTGTTAAGATATATAAATGCATGTGTGGACATCTGTAGGAAGTAATTTGTTGTGAGCTCGGGTAAATTTTAGTCTCAGGTTTGTTTGGTTTTTTTCTTCCAGTGTTGAAGCAGATTAGATTAATTTTTTTTTATGATTTAGATAAGTGACTGGATCAAAAGACGTGTGAAAATGCTCGCAGGGCTTGAACCCAGCACACTTCTGATGCAAACACTCACTATTTTTTCCCTTTAAAATGAGACAGATTGGATCCTCTGTAAGAGCTTTTTTTTTGTTAGAGGAGCCAGTGACACTTGCCAGCAACCACCTTGCAAAATGGGACCTAATACATCGTGTGTAGCGTATCATGTTTCCTAGCTGCATGCAGTGGTGTCTCTGCTTTTTAGGTGACAGTTTTGACACTGGTAAGGAAAATGCATAACCTTGTTGCAAAGGGCAAGGGGAGTCAGGGGAACAAAGCAGAAGAGCAAGCGTGTTTCTGTGAATGAGCTGTTTAAAAGCTCCACATTTCTGACAAATCTGATGAAGTGCCTGTGAAATCATTCGTTAGAGAAGGGAACTAATTTTAGGTTTTTTTAGCATTTAAATAAATAGGTTGATATCGGAACAAACACAGGTGGAAAGCAACTTGGCCAAAATAGTAATTAAAACAAAACAAAACAAAACAAAACAACCTCAAAGCGGTGGGCATGTTCCTTCCAGGATGTGACACCCCAAACGCTGCCCTGGGGCATGGGGAGCTGCAGGGTGTCAGGCAGCCTTTCGGGCACTTTTGGATGCAGCGGAGGTTGCTGCCGCCCCAGTTAATGACCAGCAGCTCTGCCCTGGGCTCCACTGGGCTCCCAGTCAGGCCCTGAGCCAAATACCGGGGGACCCCGTCCGGTCCCGCCGGAGAGCGCGGCACTGCCGGCTGCACATTCCCCTCCTCTCCTCCCCCACAGGCCGGGCAGGGGATTAACGAGCAGGTTTGGAAACTAGAGAAGCTTAGTGCCAAGGCTTGTGCTGGGTGCGTTTCCATGCAGGAGCTGGAGCAGTCGCTGGCAGACTGGGCCCACAACATGAAGGAGCTGCGGGCCATGAAGGTGGAGCTGGCTCCCTGCATCCTCACCGAGGACATGATGGTGCTCGAGGAGCAAGTTGAACATTTGCACAGGCAGTGGGAAGAGCTCTGCTTGCGAGTAAGTCTTCTGTCTCCTCGGGGATTTGACAGCGGAATATTCACAGGGCCTGGCAGAAAAGGGGGAGCGGGTTAGCAGAGAGGATTTCTCTGGGGGTTGGCTCCCTTTCGCAGTCTTGGGTGGGGATGGGGCTTCTCCTGGTGCAGCTGACCAGGGCTGAAGTTTGCCCTTTGTTTCCTGGACACAGACTGCTGAGATATTTTTTTTTTTTTTAATTTTATTTTTTTTTGCAAACCCTTTGTCACTAGTGAGTGCCTGAATGGCACAGAGCTCAAATGCAGCTGTTTACTGTAATAGGTGGCTTTGTTCTGGGCTGCCAAAGGGAGGACGGGGCTGGTGGTGGGGAGAGGGATAAACACAGGAATTGCCTGAGGGCATGAAGCCGGGAAGGGAAGGGGGAGGTCTTTGCAATCTGATGTTAAAAAAAAAATGCCAGGAGAGTTGATAAAGAAACCTTAAATGTGTTTAAATACTGACTCCTCGGGTTTAAACACATTAAGAACTGACATGTCTTTTCTGTAGTAGTAAAATACTGTGAAACATTTGCATTCTTTGTGGCTTGTTGCTATATTACACTTAATTTAGTGCTGTATGTAAAGTTGCTGAGGGACATTTACCAGCAAAGTCACATGAACTTGATTCATTAGGTTATTATGCAGTTTCAATGTGTGTTTACTTTGCCCTGTTAACAGGATTGGAAACAGTAAAATACTTCGGGGTCTTAAGTTGCTCTGCATGGCTCTGCATGCCAGCAAGCCAAACTCTTGCCTCTCTTTACTCACAAGTCAATAGCTTTTATTTTAGTTTGTGAAGGAGGTATAGAAGCGAGTTAGTATTTCTTGTCTAACCCTTACTCGGACAAAGGTAAAGCAGTCTTGGTGGGAATATTTCCAGAGTAATGAACAGCTATGCTTATTTCACAAATTTTGATGTGACAAAATAGTTATTTGGGCTTATTTTTTGCATTGCAACAAGAAAGAAGAATTTCGTATCTTTGCCTTAAACTGGACTGTTAATCTACAACCAGTGTTTTCTCTGTTATTGTTTCTGAACTCTGAAAATAATCCCAGAGATTCTCTCCCCCTTCCTGAGAAATATAGGCCGTTATTTTTAAATAAAAATGCCTGAACCATTTTCCTAATGGAAATCTGTAGTTAAACCTATAAATGAGAGAATTTTGTTGTTTTTCCTTTTTTGGTGAACTGCTGATGCCTGCTGTTTCAGCTGTGGTGAACAGCCCTGAAGATTAAGCTATCTTTTGTATGTACCCCACTACGGTCTATCCAAGTAGTAATTTCCTGCAGTAATTTCAGATTTTATTCAAAATTTCTATTTTGATTTCCTGAGGGAACAACGTTTAGTTCAGTCTGTCTTGGAGAGAATAAAGGGGTGACATTAATGTGACTATGTTAGGCACACAAAAATCTGTAGTAGGAGGAATCCATTCAGTGCTGCAGCAAGGGACATACTGAAATGTTTGCACAGCCCTAATGAGCCTGCCGAGAGCCTGCAGTGATGCTCAGCGCTGGACACGAGCGTAGGAAAGCAGACTTCATTGGTTCTGCTGCTAACACAACTGCTTTGTTTTGGCTGTCAGATTAGAGAAGTCAAGATGTATTGTGTGAAGAAAAATCTGCAGTATAAATGCAGAGAGGTGAAAGCCTTTAGGAGCGAGATGTGACTGCAGCTGTCAGAGCCACAGGAGCAGGGCAGCCAGATGCCTGGACAGGGATACAAACACATTTAGTGAGCAGATGCACTCAAGGGATTAGCGTTTACATAGCTGCCCTTGCAAGGTACATGTAGGTCAAAGATTTAACTATTCATATCAGTGAGTATCCTGTCCTAATGAATGCTAGTGTACAGATTGGGCTTGGGCCTTTGTATTCTTTTAGCTCAGATTGCTGCTGCATCATGCTGTGGATGCAAAATGGAGCTGGTACCAGGGCAGCTGGTCTGAGGAGAGAGTGCTCAAAGCAATGGCTTGAAGGGCTTGTGTTCCTAGAAGCTTGTCTGGGATTTTTTGGCTCATTCCTCTCTTACCCCCAATCTATATTGCTTAACCAGCTAAAAGGTGCTTCCTGCTCTTAAAATCCTGCCTTGCCCTATGCTTAGCAAGCAAAAGTGGAGTCAGGATCATTTCAGGATTTAACAATGGTTTAACCGACATGCATAGTCTCCTCTTCCAATGACCAAGTTAACTTATCTCCGCACGTGGGAGATGCTGCAGGTGTTAGAGGAATGATGAGGAATTCATACATGTGAAGCTGAGGGTACAAGGGCATATCCCAGAGCAGAGGTCCTCTTAGGGAGACTCTGTGAGGTCCCTGGGGTCTCCAGGAGACTTCTTCCCATTGAGAACTTTGGAGATTTTTTTTCCCTGTGTCCCAAGACGGTGCTTTCAGCCTCATCTCTGTGCTTAGATCAGCATGAAGGATTTAGAAATCACTTTCATCTCCCCATCCTCTCCTTAAAAAAAGTCAGAATTTAAAGGACAAAAGCAATATAGTGGGTGATCTCTTGGTGCCTCCTGTTTTGATCCTGGTGTTACATGGAGTGGGTCCTGCTTCTGCACTACACACTTAAACTTCACTCTGAGGTACAAGATAGCATTAGAGATTAGTCTAGGAGAATCAGTAATGGAATTGTGAGGAGTCATACGCGGTATAAGGTGCATGTGAGATGTGAAGGGGGAATATTTCCTGCCATGGGGTGATATTTAGAGTGGCCGTTCGCAGCCACGGCAAGCAAAATGTCATACTCAGTCTTAACACAAAGTTTCTTGATGAGAGTGATGGGTTAGTTGTTTGTCTTGGGTTTTTTTGGTAGACCTTGTACCATTTTTCACTTCCGTTGTCCCGTGTATCTTAGTACAGGAATCAATCGAAGTAGATAAATGAATACGAATATATATTTTAAGACCGCTAGGCTAGAAATAAGAGTGACCCTGCTTCTTTCTGAGATGTTGGAGCAGTGATACTAGCTTTGCTGATTCAGGCCGCATCAGACCTTAATTTCTCTATCTAGACAATTTGTTTATCAGTCCTGGCAAATGTAACTTTGAGGAAAAAAATCCGTAGTTTTCAATAAAAAGGAGATTCTTGATGCTGATTTTTTCTGGAAGTTCTCCAAGAACTGGTGAGGAAATGTAAAAAAAAAAAGAGGGAGGTTTTTGTAGAGGTAAAATAATTGCAGTCAGTAGTTGCAAAGTTATTCTTACAGTTGCAGAAAAATAAGAACTTACCTAGGTGTTATTTCTCTTGTGTTATACATAAGACTGGAGTAAATAGTATGTAGTAATTACATATTTTATATTCCTTCTTTGTTCGACATTTTAAGGTTTTCACTGAGTAATATTTAAATTGTTATATAAGCTCATTATTTGTAAAGCTGTCACTCAGTTTAATTCTTCTGAGGGAGAGAATCTGGTGTTTGCTAGTCAACTTTTGGCCCTGCTATCCAAAATAAGATGTAATAACAATCTGCTTGCTAGCTTTGAAAAGAGAGCTAGAGGTATTTGATAACTGCTCCTGCAAAATGGAATATGATAAAATGCAGACTAGAAATTAGAAGGGTCATAATTGCTGATTTCCTTCCTGAGAAAGATGTTAGCAGCAGTAAACATGTGTGCTTATCCATAGGTGTCTCTGCGTAAGCAGGAGATCGAGGACAGGCTCAATGCCTGGATTGTGTTCAATGAGAAGAATAAGGAGCTGTGCTCCTGGCTGGTACAAATGGAAAGCAAAGTATTGCAGACTGCAGATGTTAGCATTGAAGACATGATAGACAAATTGCAGAAGGTAATGTAGTAATGCCACTTTTCTTCAATTGCGCTGTGATAGCTCGTTATAGAGACACCATTTCTCATTTCTGCCTTGCCTCTCGGAAGCAATATGTGATATAAAACCAGCACGTGCAGGCTTTTGTGAGAGGATGAGCTTTTCTAGCATCAGCTCTTATCTTCTTGATGTTCAGACGTGGAGCATAATGCAAAACAGAAATGCCACCTGACTGCATTTAGGCACGGAGTGTGATGTATGTGAGTGGTGGTGGTGGGGATCTGGCTTGTTGGAGTGTTGGGCACACGTGCACATACAGCACTGCTCAGAGCTTTCCCTGATGGGGATCAGTAGTGTCGTGGGAGTGTCTCACTGCTTTCACCACCTCCACCTGTGTCAATGGTTACAAAACTGGTAATCAAAGGGCAAAGAAAAGATTGAAGGACGGGATAGGTCTTAGGCCAGGCAAACAAAAAGTTACCACAACCAAAATTAAAACCTGATTCTGCCCTTTCTCTGTGGTAGTCAGTGCAGTTAGTGCTTTATAATACTTTCACATTAGCTTGATTTTAAACAGGACCATTATTTTGCTGCAGTGTTCTTCCCCAGGGCTTAAAGGTCTCGATATCTAATCCAAGATCTCCTCTGGGTAAGAATACTGGCAAAATAAAGCCACCCTACCGTTAAATTTGGGTTCTTTTGAGGTAGCTTGATTGAAAAATTACATTAAATTAGGAAAGCAGAGACAAAATTAGAACCTTAAACTGCTATTTTTAGGAGTGCTTACTCCTGACACTTGCAAATCTTTAAGCTGCGTATTTTTTCATAGTGGCTTCGTTGTAAGAGTGCTTTTCCATTGAAGGGGGTTTTTGTTTTGTTTTAAGTGAGAGAGTTGTACATGCTTATGTAGAAACCCCAGCCATCGCAAGCGGAACCTGACTTCACATCACACACCTGGGAAAAGAAACAGATAGTTTTGTTTTGGTTTTGTTGTTTTGTTTTGCCCAGGAATTAAGCAATGTTTGTGTATATTTAGCAGGATTGCATGGAAGAAATAAACCTGTTCAGTGAAAATAAGCTTCACTTGAAGCAAATGGGTGATCAGCTAATCAAGGCTAGCAACAAGAGCCGAGTTGCAGAAATTGGTGATAAACTCAACAAAATCAATGATCGCTGGCAGCATCTCTTTGATGTCATTGGAGCACGGTAAGAAAATGATTTTCAATGTCTTATTTGAGATAAAAGTCAGAGGCGGGTGTCCTTGACCATCAGAAACAGACTGACACGACTCTTCAGTTCTGTTGAAATTTATTATTGAGAGTCAAATTAAACTGAAGTTAATGCTTTTTTGTTATGACTTGTTGCTGTATTATGACACCAAATGTCTTAATTTATCTGATGGTAGAGGGCAGGGTGTAAGAATTCATATCAAATATAATTTTAATCATGGGAGCTACGTAAAAGGAAGAGTCAAAATGATTTCTCTCTTGTATGTGTTGAATTGCAACTGAATTTTAAGGCAGTATGGTAGAAGTTCATTTGGGCTATTTAGGAGAGCCTCCTGTTCTAAGACAAGCCTGTATTTCCTCCTATGTCTGAACACAAAGAATTTGAGAATAGATTCCTGGCCTGTGTCTGTAGACAGTCAGATTTATATAATGATAATGTTCTTGTTTTACATTCAAAAGTGCATGAAATTTCATTTAATATTAGTGCTGTTTCTTTACTCAGTCTCTTTCCTAAAAACAACTGGAAGACCATACCATGAATTTATTTTTTAAAATCAGGATCTTCTGCATAATGGAAATGGAAAATATTATCAGTTGAAATTAAAACAAAAACCTGCACAGTCTAGGCAATGACCTCTTCTTAAAGGATTAAACATCTTTATTATACTTGACAGAGTTAAGAACATCATGATCGTTTTAGTATTTAGTCTTACTGAGACGATCCCATTTCACTATTATCTCTGAGTTTCTACCGCATCTTGGGAGGAGGATGCTGGGCTGGTCTCACCGGCTGCCCGTGTTTATAGTAATTCAGAAATAATAAGGCTAAAGCCAAATTACTATTGCTCTTAAACTTCTCTCCCGAGGTTTTGTTTTGCCTGTAACCCCCCCTCTCTGGGCCCTCAGAACTTGCTCAGTTAACATTTGGGACAGATAAGGTGGGTGGTTGTGCTGTGACAATGTAGTGCTAAGTGGGCTGGATCTTAATCAGGAATGGGATCTGAATTGATGATGACACATGAGCCGTGAATAATTAAGCAGAAGCTGCCTTCTTAAGATCTAACACTCTGCAGATAGTCTTGCAGTGGTTGTCTCAAGATGTCTTTGTATTTGATCTGGTGTAGGAAAGAAAGCTTCACTTTTTTAACAGCACTTTTTCTGTTCCCATCTTATGGTAACGTGTCACTTTTAAAGTACTTTTATGATAATTTGTGTTCTGTGTGTGAGTTTTGAATTGTAGCAATTTTTAAATACAGACTAAAATGCACTATTTTAAAACTGAGGGAAATACAGCACACTTCTAGTAATCTTTAGGAAAATATGCTAAAGAACTGATGGGGTATTTAGAGAGAGATTTAGCAGTCTTATTCAAGGTAGACAACAGAGCACCTGTTTGTGTACCTGGGATGTCTTAAATCTTTACCTTCAGACAAGTGTATGGTGGTGCTTCGAGGTACTTTAATGCGGATTTGTCTAGAGCATCAATTTAACTCCTAGTATTGAATATCTAAGTGGATATTGCAGCTGCTGGGGAGTTGATGTGACGCTTTATGATTGTGCCTGTGTGTTCTTAATCCCAGAAGGTCTGGAACATGCCAGCTTCTACTTGTGATTTCCACCAGTTTTGTGCTCAGGACCAGGGTAATGAACTGAAAGGACCTGACAAAATGTGATTTTAAGCAGCTCCCTCAGTGGTCCAAGGTTATCAGGCAGCCCAGTGGGCTCTGCTGGTCCTCTTGGACTTAATACTAACACAGGTTCAGGATATTGCAGTGTTCTGCAGCATGGGTGTAGCACATCTCCTCTCTCACCTAATCTGCCTTGCTTGGGCTTGGCTCACAGCTCAGCTGTTCTCAGCTGCTCAGTCATAAATAACCACCAGGCTAGACACTCACAATAGAATCTGAGTATGGTCCTAAGAGCTTTTTTTCCCTGTTTATAACCTTCCAACTTTCCATTTCAGGATCGCTGCTATAGTGGTGGCTTGCCACTGAGATTTGAATTCTGAAGGAATTAAATTAGAGTTCAGTTGACTGAAGTTTCCAGCTCACTCACAGGTTTGCTATGGGGCACTCCAGAAGAGGCTCCTCCTGTGTTTCTGGGTAGCTTCTCTTAAGCTCAGGCGATGGGGAGGTGGCAGCAGTTCTACCAATGACAGATGTGGTACTAGTTGGGCCTCTTCATGGGGGAGCGGAGCAGAGCAAGGAGCCTTGGGCTGGAGGCGAGGTGACCTGTGAGCGTGGGTTGTGGTGCCCCATGGTGATAGACTGTCTCATTCCTTTTCAGTTTGCTTTTACAAAAACTTTTTTTAAAAAAAAATTGTATTTAAGCTGTGTTGAAAGAGCATATGAGAATAGAGTGATGGCAAAATTTGTGTTGGCCTTCTTGCATGAAGGCATCGCAATCCAGTCATCCTCACGTGATCTCAAACATCAGCCATCACCACCTTCATTCAGTGGGTGGGATGGGTTGGCTCCATGGAGGTTGGAGCCTGTAGGGCATGGTATGGGGGCAGGGCATGCAGGGCACCCACTGCTACCTGGAGGGAGAGAGACAACAGCGCTGCACAACTGCTGCCATGGCAGCATACCCAGATGTAGCCCTTTTTATTGGGCACTGCTTCATTTCTTGGGGAAGATAAAAGGAACGGAGGAGATGCTTCAGGGCAGGATTGCCAGAGGGCTGTGAGGGTTGGAGGCAGTTGAGGTAGGAGAATGCTACCTGGAGGGAAATTATTAATTTCAGCTGTGACAGGGAGGCAATCTTGTCTTGCTCCTGAAAAAACTACTTGTAGGAACTTATTTTCACAGCACCTCCATGAAATGAGGTGGTTTTGCTGCTGGCTGTTCATATCAGTAGCTGCAGCAAGTAAGTTGAAGTGAAAATTTTCTGAGTTTTTGGGTGCCGAGTCTGCAACTGCTTGAAGCTGTTTTTTGACAAGTGTTAACAACTTCAGCACTTCCTGTTAAACACATAACGAGGTGCTGCCTTTGTTTGTACTTGTGGGTGCACCACAGCCTGCTGCACCACTTCCCTGGCCCCCAGTGACTGTCCAGCACAAGGGCAAGGACCAAATGTTGCATTGTCTTTGTGGCAGGCCAGGACTTGAGCACTAAGTGAACTACAGAGCCATGCACTGAGTAGGAGGAGAAAATGTACATTCAATAGCTGCGTGTTCGAAGCCAGTCCTCTGTTCTGGGCGCTGAATCTCTCTAGTAGACAAGCACTTCATGATGCTGCAGTTAAACAGTGTTAAATAACCGCTATCCACAAAGGAGTCTAATTGAGATGTATAGCCAATTTCAGTTCTGTGGTTTCTAATGTCTCCATGGCTGACGCTGCAATCTGAGTAACATTTTACCTTTTCTGTAGTGCAATGTATGGCTGTGTGATAGCAACATGAAACCAAACCAGTCTCAAGCCAATGTATCAATACAGAGCATTCCTTCTGATAGCTTATTTCACCTTTTTAAACCAATAAACGTCCTGGGACAGATGGGCAAATTAGGTGAGCTCTGAATTTAGTCCTTGAAGTGATTCTCTTAGTTCATGGTGACAAGCTCAGATTTGCCATATGGCTACACTTGCGGGACTTAACACTTTCATTATATGCCTATGCTCGGCTTGTGTGGTGACAAAAGCTTTGCCACATGTGTTGCAGCCAGAGGGTGACTTGGTGCAAACTTGGAAAAGTCTCAAAATGTTAATTCTCATGGGATAAAGTAACCATCAAGACATTAGCATGCCTGGAAAAGAGAACAAATGAATTTCTGTTCAGCTCGGAGGATACTCTTACCAGAGGAGGTTCTTGTGCTGAAGTCTCTGTTGATAGAGTGGGAATACAAACATAGTAACAGGCAGAAAGGGAGCATTGTGCTGACTGTAAAAGTGGACACAGAAAATCTCTTGCTTTTGTTCTCTTGTCACCAGCCCCATAGCAGCAGTCTGCCACAGTAAACCACTGCATGCTTGCACGTGCACCCAAGTGAAGGCCTGAAACAGTAGTAGAAGGAGTGCACAGGCTGCATGCAGGTGGTAGACAGCCAAAAACCCACAGAGTGGGATTTACATCCCCAGCATGCTCTGGAGGAGCACTCCCCGGCCATGCATTAACTGGCAAGAATTGCCAAGGAGCTATGTTGTGCACAGCCATGTTGCTTGATGTCCTTCCCTGGCCCATCCACCACTGATACTAACTCCACGCTTTGCTTCCCAGCCCAGCGGGGAAGTGTTTGCCTTCTGCGCTGCTGTTTGCATACTGCCTGCTGGCAGACTGAAGGAGCACCCACATGTCATGGGAGGGTGTCTGCGCTGCCTGGGGTTGTGCAAAGCGTTTGGGTGGTGCTTGAGCCTTCATTAAAGCCACCAGCTTCATCAGGGGCTGCGTCTGGCAGTTTTGGGTCTGCAGACCAGTCTCTACAGTAACAAACGTTGCATTTCTGTACCTCGGGGCATCCTGCGGCTCTTCCCACTGCCGCTAAGCTATGGAAGGAGGATGACATTTCTCAGCTGCTCTGGCTGCGGGCACACTGTGTTTTCTTACTTTGGTGGGTCTGGTCTGTGTTTTCAGCCTTGTGGAGAAAGGCACATTTTTTGTGTATGTAGCAAAGGTTTAAATGACTGTGACCTTTAATGCGAGCATGAAAATACAGGGAAGCCAGCAAGGCCAAATGTGCCTTCTCATTCTTTTAAATGTGAATCCTTGACAACTAGGTCTTTTCCCCATGTTCACAAGCTGCCACAAGTCCTTATTGCAGGGTCCAGGAATCTTAAACTGCCATGATTAAAGTCAGCCCCTTCCATCCCACATCAGACTTGGAAGATTCAAGGTGTTTTCAGCTGGTTTCCTGCATACCTCAGCTGAAATTCCCAAACAGCCTGAAACTGCTGAGATTGCAGTAAAATGGGAGGGAGTTGGAAGTTCTCCACCACGTTGTGCTGTGCAGGGACTCCACGGAGGTTTTATTGGGGAGCTCC